TCTAGATCTGCTTCACATGGATGATAAAACAATGATAAAACTATGGAAATATATTGAGAGTTACACCATGACAATGCAAAGGATATCGAACTATTAACAGATCCAAGAGTTCTCTCGGTTTACAAAATGATCGATAAGTGGTAAGGAAAGTACGTAGAAATGATGGATCTAAAAAACAATAAAAAAATATTAATAAAATCAATATAAAAATATTCAATTGCTGTTTGTTTCATAATTTTATTTTACATCTTTTATGCACAATTAATGAAAGATGGTAACTAATACCATTTTTCATTTCTTATCCATTTCAATATCCATTCAGTTATTCAATCATAATACACTTAATATTCCCCTTTCTCAATATTTTTGTGTTTCATCAGTTGTTCATTTTTTTCATTCAATTTTTATTCATTCCCATTTATCCTACTTATCCATTCATTTCAATTCACATACCAGCATACTTATGATGTGTGAGTCTTTCTATTAGTTTAATTAATGTCCCTCCTCTAATGACAGGAGCCACAGAGTTCTAAAGAAAACCAASTTTGATATTTAGTCAAACATTTTGCACTATTTAGAACGATCAAACTTGAAAACCTACCCCTTGAGACTCCTCAAAGACTATGTTTTCATCTTTATCTTCTTCTGAAAAACTAATATCAAGATTGTTGAGTAATAACAATAGATGACTAGTTTAGTTTTCTCATATAGATTGATATTTAATTATTTCATACCAGTATTCTTCAGGACTCGGCATTCGCAACGGAATGGCTTTCTCTTCTTCTGTTAGCATGTGGTCCAACATACGATCCAATGTACTGAAGAAAGATAATTAAATAAATGAATGAAAAATATAAATAATGAAAAAGTAAATGAAAAATATAAATAATGAAAAAATGAAATAAAAATGAATGGAAGACAGAATAAATAAAAAATGAAAAAATGAAAATAAATAAATGAATAGATAAAAGTGCCAATAAATTAACAAACAAAAAAATAAATTAATGATTAAATACTGTGATTATAAGACAAGAAGCATCTCAACCCACCTCCTCATGTATAGCGTCATCAACATGGCCATCCATTCATTCTTCTCAGTTTCATTTTTACAAATAAACAAAGCCTTGGGCTGATCTTGTTCTACTACTTCAAATGCATTTTTTATATCTGGTCAAGAAACAAGACATGTTGATTTATGATAAAATATCACAGATATCAAAGTAAATGTTATGTACCTGCAGTGTCATCTAAGTCATTTATATCTGCTTTTCTCAAGAAATACTTTTCCTTTAATCTGTATTCTGGTGAATTTTGTCCAGATAATGTATGTCTGGTATTCTAAACATATCAAAATTCCATTAGTTATCCTACTTGACACATTTTAATAGCATAAGTTGAAGACAAATGGYAAAGTTTAATAATATTTCTCAGAGAAAAATGTCTTTGAACACTACAGGATAAAGTGATCAAACTTACTTGCTTGCAGCATATTAACAGTCCATCGAGAAGAAATACATATCTTTCTGTGGACTGTTGAAAAAATTATGCAATAACAATAAATACATTAGCTCTCTACCAGAAAATACAACTATTATTATCTATATCCATATTAGAATCCTATGGCTAACTGGAACCAAATTAGCAACAAATATGTTATGAAAGAAATAGTTGTTTTCAATTACTAGTACGGCTAAATCTGAAATCCTTCACTTTTCATTTTAGTTTCTATCTTTCCAACAATGTTTCTCTTTCAAGCCTCTTTGAAATTGTAAAGAAATATATTATTGTATAAATTGAAAAGAAAATAACAGCAAAGATTAAAATTTTTTTACCTTTTTATTGGGGTGCAACTTTCCAAGTATTCCCTCTAAAAGAAATTTATAAAATTTTCGTATTCAATTAGTCTAAGTGACTTAAGAACATGAGTGWAAAACTATTGATACCCACAACCTATTATGACACACTACTAAAAACGGAAATAATAAAAAAAGCAAACATTGTTCATTTAGCTAATTATAGGTCCTCCTATCACTACTGAATGCTTTTTAAAACAGCTACAGTTAACACTAAGAGAGTTGTTAGTACCTTTAAGAATTTCAGTACAAGATTGGGAGATGTCTTTACCCTGCAGMAAAGAAGCATTGAAGAATTAATAACAACTAATAAATGTTTTTGGATATCTTATCTTCTATCAAGACAACAAGTRCTGCTCTCTACTAATTGGGACCCTCAAACAACACTCAACATCGAAATGTAAGGCCTACTTTTCTATTCAGTGATGAAAGATAAGAATGCCTATACTTAAGAGAAAGCAGTATCTTGCAAACTCTACTGACATTATTTTTCAATTGTCTGGACAAGAAACTATGACAAAATCAGTAAAAGTTGCTTACTGGCTTGGTCATCCTTGCTTCGTAGTAGATGAGACATTACCACACTTTAATCTACTTTAATTCATAAATAAATAGARTGTTTGGTATTCGTACCTCCCATCCATCTATGTTCCTTTGTAATTCATTCATTGTAGATGCTGCTGATTTCAAAACTCCTGATTTTCTTTTCTGTGCTCTGTTAAATTTATCCCTGCAAACAATGCAAAGTAATCAGTGATAGATAAAATTGAAAAAAAAGAAAGCTTATCTGTTTATCACATTGTAGTTCTGTTTATTATTTGGTGTATTTTTACTTCTTATGAGTTGAAATTTTGCAATTTTAGTGTCACTTTTGCAATTCATAATATTCGATATACTTGACATGATCTCAATGTTTAATTGTCTCCTTGGCGGTTCCCTGCGCCATCTTGAAAGGTAGTTGTGCCTTTGCACCGGAGCAGGACAACCGTCGAGCATGCAATGATAGAAACCTTCTTCACCTACAGACAATTCTTCACAGGTATCTATCATTGCACGCTCAACAGTTGTCTCTCTTTGATGTAAAGGCACGACTATCTTTCAAGATCTAATTCTTACTCATTTTTCTTGACCATATGACTAGATGAAAGTATTCTTTCCATGCCAGCCTGAAGCATTCTGAGAGCACTTTGTGCCTTTGCAAAAGAAAAGATGAGATAAATGATATATTCTATCAAAAGTACTATAAATGAAACCATTGCGTTACCTGCTCAAGGCTTTCTAAATCATTATCATCAGGACTYGTTTTTAATAGCAACTAAACAAAGATGTTTAACAAACAATTATGACATTGATTAATCGCATGGTTCTTATAATAAAAATTTTACAGTAGAAGGSAACTCACCCCGATCAAGTCAAAGTAGTGAAGACAATGATGTACAGGAATCATGAGCAACTTTGGTAAACAATATTGTACTGTTTCCTTAAAACGATCACCTTTACTCTGAAAAACAAACAACGTCATGATTACCCCATCACTCATGAGAACTTCTCAAGTCCAATCACTATTTCAACATAAATTTTACTTATGTTATTATTATTAAGTCTTACTTTAAAGAACTCTGCRACTTTAGGTCGGGCAAGAAGTTCATATAATTTCCCTCCAATGCCAAGATGGCGGTACATTTTGCTTTCTGATAACATTTGCTCCTTTGCAAAGCTTTCATACACCTCAAACTCAGCTCCCTGGTAAAACAATATTTTTACAATCATTATTTATCAAATAAATACCTCATCAAGACACTTGTACAATTTTAAAAATGTTTTTGTTCAAATTTGCACTTATTATAAGATTATAAAGCAACAAGCAATGTCCCATCCTGTTTTTGTTTTTTTTATGGGGTCCAGATTTTCCAATTTTTTCCTGTTACTATATGCAAGTGTTAAGCGTGCTAATTGTTGTTGTTTTAATGCAAATTTTAAAATTTGTCTCAACTAAGTTAAAATTCGAGATTCAATAAAAAATAAGTATATCAGACCCTGTCACCCTACCCCTAGATCCACAATTGTATAGCCCAGACACTAAACATTTCYGTTCAACACCAAAACAAAAATAAAACTTGAACAAAAAAACGTTAAATTTTTCCCCACTTTATTTGTAAAACATAACTCCTCAGAGTATATAAATGACTAGTCTTGTTTTAAAAAGTAAAMAAAATTGCAAAACCCTACCTCTGCCATCTCTTCAAAGCATGTTCCAATGGCCGGTGGTTTGCCCTCATCTGCTACCTCAATTGCTGCTTCAAGGAGCCCATAAAAAGCCACAGAAAAATCATAAATCTCAGTTATATTGCTGAAAACTTTGTCAACATCCTGCAAAAGACGTTTGAAATCTTTTAAAACTAATCTATAACCATAGCAATTCAAAGAAATACTTTGMAAATACTCACCTCTTGAGTAAATAAGTCTTTTGCCTCGATAAAAGGTGCACGGAAAACCTATAAAGTTTAAAACAATAAGGAACTTGATACACTTGATTTATCCAATTGAAACCAGCAACAATAACAACTTGTAACTGAAAGTTTTTGGTCATTTGCATGGTGTTTGTAAATAATGTCTTTTTTGTACAATGCCAAACATTTCATGACAGCAACTTCCTGTTATAGCAAACAGCTGAGTATAACAGGCTTCCAAGACACAGATTTCTTACCTTGATTAACATATTCAAATCTCTAATATATTTGGATTCTACAATCATCATTTCTCTGACTACTTCTTCATACGTGAGAAGCTCCTGGTTGTCKATTCTCTGCAAAAGAAATCATTGTTGATAAGGAGGTGTTTTCATGCCAACTTTGTTGCAGTTACAAGTAAAAATTTCCTTTGATYGATATTGATGAAACTAATTTGCAAATAATAATAATAATAATTACTAGATTATAAGCTTGTGATAACAGTAACATGATTCAAGAAATTTAGCAGCAAAAACATAACTGTACTCAGGAAAATCTTCCTTATCGTATTTACTAAAAGTAAACAGATTGTCATTTTAAAAAATAAGCCTTGAGATTGTTTTACTACTATTTGTATAGGATCATAAATACAACATACATAATTYATCAGTTTATCTGGATAGAAATTAATTTTAAGATGACATAATAATCAAAATTTAGAAAACTCAACATTTTAACAACTGCGTCATTGACACAGCGTCTTTACCTTATTCAGTCAATTTACAATTATGAAATGYTTCCTGAATAATTACTATGAATGTTGATTGATCAAATCATTTAAAAAGCACAGAGTTTCTATTGATAAATGCAAATAAAAATGAYTTCAAGAATATACTGGTAAGTTTAGAAGTCAGTCCCATGATAAGATGGTACTCAAAACAACAAAAGGTATCATGAATGCACTCAAAATTAACAAACAAAAATTGCTGAAACGTGACAGAGATCAATACCACTCCATTTAGCCCTGGTTTTGCAGAACATATATTTCAAATGCAAGACTATTTAACCTAACTTTCTTCACATAAAACAGTTTAAGAGTCTATAATTTTTGTAAAACTGTCTTCTTCAAAGACAAATATCCTGTACAAAACAGTTTTCACCTCRAACTTCCTGTTGTAGCAAATACTATTTCAARTGAAGCATAAAAACATGATGTAAAAATTATGTCACCCACCCTGAGGACTACACATTGGGGCAAAGGTGGCCTAAACTTGTTTCCTTTTCTTGTTTTATAAAAAATCAAGCTGCCTTTCCTGCAGAGTCTTGAGCAAACGCTATTAGCAGCCATAAAAACACTTTCCTTTGAAAATCTTGCTGAAAAGACTCAGTTGASAGAGATAGAAATGTCAAACCTTGCTTCAGTTAATAATGTCACACAACACCAAACACTTGTTATCGAGTATGTGAACCCATTCTTGTAGAAATATACTTGAAATTGAAAAATAGATGTTTATGGTTTGTAAACTTGAAATAACTGACACATTCAAGCATTGAAAACTGATTAATATGTTAATTAGATGCATAATACATGTAACTCTACAACAACTTCCTTCCTTTGCTTTCCACATTTACATGTATGGTTTAAAAACCAAAGACAAAAACCTATTGTTGTGGATGGGAAACTGTCATAAAAACCCTTTATAAACTTTATAGGGGAGAAACAATTACATATCTCACATGCTAAAACAGGTATTGTGGTCTGGTGATCCTATTTTCAAATTCTATTTTTGACAAAACCCTAACCAGACCCATTCAAGTTTCATATTACATTTCTAAGAATAGGTACTATCAAAGAATAAGTAACAGAGAAAAATGCTCTACCTTTTTTAGGTTAAATTAGATTACATTATTATAAACATTATTTGTTTAAACAGAGACGTCTTTGATCAATAAGCCAAGACATAATTCATATAAAAAGCTCTCCTGAAAAAAGAGGAAAAAATAACTGCCTAAATTTGCCAAATCCCCAATGAATTAAAAGCCAAGAAAGTTGAGTGTAGATTCCATTMATTGAGAGGCGCACAGACACATGACATCGTATGCAAATCATGGGTAAAAATGCTAATTTYGTGACTGCTGACATTATCATTACCAATCACGTGTCACATCTGTTAAGATGAGATGTGGTTTCCCCTCGAAATTGGTAAAGATTAACACAACAACTCTTCCACCTTATTCATAAAACACATTTTCTTGTGTATAAAATATTAATTTTCAAGTTTAATAGGTTTGTAAGCTTTCTCTTGCTGATTTACAATTTTAAAATTGCAATGTTTTTCCAGTTTGGTTTATGAATTTGTAATGAATCGATAAATGATACTATGGGTTGCACATAATTTCAGTGATTGCAATATAAAAATATTTTTACCTCTTCTTCAACTGATGCATCCATGTCATCAGGATGAAACATATACATTAAAACCTTGAAATATCAGGAAAAATATGAGCACAATTAGGTAACAAAAACTTAGGTTAAAGAAAAATCAAATTTCTGCTTACTTTATCTGCAAACAAGGCAACTTTGATGTCTTGACATG